TATATATATATATAAAATAAAATAAAATAATAAAATAAAATAAAATAAACTACTACTTACTACTTGTACTACTATTCCTACTTCATAGTTTTTCACTTATGGGGCTTCAGGGTACGAATCCCCCGCGATAAACACGGGACTGCTGTATACAAATGTTTTGATATAAAATAGTAGTGTTTTTAATTCAAATCTTTTAGGGCCAGAATAAGAGCCTGTAAATTGTATGCATGCATGCGATCATATGGTGAGAATACAGGAAGGATACTGTTGATCAATATCTTTAACCTTTAGTTTTGAGTCATCAAGTCTTGTGATTTTAGTTGTCTTTTTGGCACAAACAACTTTGACATCCTGTGACAGAGCTGATGACTCTTAACAAAAACAGGATGTCATAGGGAATTATCAGCACTTTTCCCAGAAATACCTCCAAATAAAATAGAAATGACAAGGTAATGTGTTTATATTCCCAGTTTCTGGTACAGAAAACACCATATGTGAATTTGGAGTTTTGCTTCTTACTTTCATGAAGTCAGAAATACAAACAAAAAAAAAGCAAGTAAACGAGAACAAAACACAGTTTAACCCTTTAACCCTCAAAATACTAAACCCAGTCCCAGCTCAGTCTCATACCATTGCAGATCAGCTTTATCAAATTTTAAATAAATAAATAAATCCACATGCTGGTTCTGTCTCCAGGCACTCCACCACTCATCTAAAGGATGAACAATCAAATACAGCTTCACCTTAAAATAATCTAGAGATGAAGTCTAAAATAAACAGCTTAATTATTAACATTTTAATTAAAGTACTTGTGCTTAAACTGACACAACCATTTATAATATAGTCCGTGTTCAAAGATGCTAAATGTAAATGTAACATATACAACTAAGAAACTAAAGAAAACATATATACACAGAATAAAACAGGTTCTACATAGGTATTAATGTTCATGTTGGTTATGTTGCAGTGTTCCACCCTTACCTTCCATTTACAAACAAGGAAGGAGGGCAGTGAGGAAGAAAACAGGGATGTGTTTAATATCTGGAACTCAATTGAAAACTACAGGAACGAACATTCAGGCTTTTGCTACACGTTCAAGATTATCTTGAAATCGTTTTCACTCATGTGGTCGGCTCATGCAGAGTGAATAGCCTAACAAGTCAGGCATGCAGCATCCGCTTCACCGCCTTTATCCTAAAAGTCTCTTCAGCTTGAAAACTGAGCGGGAAGTTATCATTCTGACAAGTCATCTGCCACAGATTCAGCCAGCTTCTCTTTTGTTTTCGAGAACAAAGAAGTTCAAGGAAAGGATTAAGAAAAAAAAAAAAAAGTTAAAAACAACAAGCAGATCATGTGTTTGTTGATCAAAATGTGCTTTCTGTACAGGCTCCTCCTGCTGAAGTGACCAACAGTCAGTAAAGTGTTCAGTGAGTTTAACACTCAAATCACCGCTACAGAGCAATGTTTGCAGGACGTCGACCAAAACAAAGACCACAAGTGCATTCGCGTTAGTTTTGTTATTTTTTTTTTAGGTTCAGAGCATCTGAAAACTCTTGGTCTGGAGTTTTAGACACTGTTTGATCATCATACAAGCACTCTGTTAGAAGCACACAGTTGCTTTGAGACTTTTGGTGGTTTGGTCTGCTCAAACGAAGACAACAAAGCAGGCAGGAGAGAAGGGAAGTACAGTAACTAACACAAGACACTTCTGCTCATTCAGTTGCCCATGCAGGATGCTAAACTGTGCTCTATGGTTATAAAAACATGCTCGGCTGGCTGTTAGTGCCGGAGCCATGCAGAGGGAAGGTTGCAGCGAGCTACGGCAGGCATCGACCGGGCATCAGATCCTAAAGCAGATGAAACTCGGGGCGTTATGCAGCTTTAATACTCGCATTATTTTCTTTTCATATTAAAGGTTTTAAAAGTTGCATTACAGAATAAAAGGCGACCAGCAATGGCTGTGTTAATGCAGAGATGTGTAAACACAGCTTGACATGAGGGAGCTGTGAGAGGTCAGAGGGTCATGCTGGGCATCACCTAAATGACTGCTGTATTCCACAAAGGAAATCAAAGAGCCAGACCTGGAGGGGAGGTGTGCTCATTAGAGCCTCAAGAGGTGCAGCGGTGCTGAAAGGTCAAGAGCTGAGCTTCATCTGCGCTTTCCATTTATAGGTTTGTGTGAGTGAATGGGTGATGCCCATTTTTAAAAGTGGCCCATCAGCGTGCAGGCAGCAGCAGGCAGCAGGTGGAAGGATCAGGCAGCACAGGCCTCATGCCAACAGCCTGAAGTTAGACTTGTCTGGCTTCAACACCCCTTCTAGCAAACGTACCTTCCTGTGCCATTGCGGCCGTGCTGGTGGTAGCGGCAGGGCTGGTGTGCTGCCGTCCCACTATTGGACAAAAATGGATTCAGTTTGGCCTAACTAAAGTCTTGCATCCTTCTCATTTCTGTCAGTGAATCCACCGGCATGTTGCATCCTGAACAGCCAATCGCCGATTATTGAATTTGAACATTATAGCAAGATATTCTTTGATACCGCTCTCTATTTATTTAAGCAAAGTGAAGCAGCAGGAAGGGAAACATCTGTTTACAAATTACATTACATTCATTTCATGGACCTTCACTTTGTGAAAAAGCTTAGAGTAATGTGGAAACAAACTCAGACACGTGAACCAGTCTGTGTTCTTCAATCTACATCAGGCTCAGCTTGGACAAAGTGGTTGACAGTAATCCACTGGAGCTGCTTTGCTTACACAAAAGCATGTAAACACAGAGCCGATAGCATTAACGCATCAGCTTGCTAGGCCATCATCCAGCCCGCAAATTGGATGTTCAATCACAAGTGCTCTGTGCTTTCAGCGATCAAACTGCTTACGATGATGAAATCCAAGCCAAACTCCTAAAGTGTGAAGTGGAAAGCGTTCCGTTAAAAGGAGGTGGACAGAACGGAGGAACAGCAGCCGAACATCATTGAAATGGACCATTTGGCGTCAGTATAAAGTGACTGCTAAAGCTCACCTGAAAAATTTCTGGACACCAGCATTGTTGTGAGGATAGCTCCCTGTAGATGAGACAGAAATGAACATCATGTACGGTTTTGTTTTTTCTTGTTTAGGCGTCTTTAACCATGTGAGCACTAACTTTAAGTTTCCTCCTGGCATTGAACTTGCGCAGACATTCGACGGTCTCTTGACGATGCATCATGGAGGCCACAGTGGAGCGTTGCTGCATAAAAGAAACACCATTACAGTTTAATTTAGCTTCCACTCTGTCCAGATGAAAGGGCAATGCTTTGACAGAATCTACAACTGACATGACAAAATAAGAAATACTATCGGGCAGGATGGAAGAAAATTATAAAACTCTACAGTGGCTATAAGATCCAATTAAAACCGTCAAGAGCATCATTACACCAGAAAAGCAAGGAAACAACTTCAATGGCTGGGGTGCCAATAAACCAAATGATTGGTACAAAAAGAAATGGCTGCGTTTCATAAAAATAATCTTGGTTTTTGATTTTAAAAAACTAAAGTTAAACACATTGACAAGTGAGATTTCCTTCTGTGTAGTTTTCCCTCAGTATGCATGGTTTTAGTTGGATTGAAAATTGATGGGGAAATGGCTACTTTGGCAGCAGCATCTTTAAAAGAAAACTGCTCATTTTGCTATTTTATCTGGAAATCTCAATTACGATGTCAAGCAAACTACAAAATAAGAAAAAAGGGATTAAAAAAAAAATTATATAAAATCTGGTCACTAGTATGGGGGCTGAAGTGTTGACAAGCCAAATTTTATTGCTGCACAAATTTGGACAACACAAGCTGTGGATTTCCTAAAATCACACACCCTGCTTCTGTTTTCATTGTAATTTGAACACCTGCATCAAAATGAACTACAACCCTTTTCAAATCAGTATGTGAGAGCTGCTCTTCAAACACCGACTGCTAAATCCTGCTGTAGATTTTAAAGAAAAAATGTGTAGGTTGTTAAAAGCTAACAAGTATTATACAAGCTGGAAACAACTTTTTGGATTCAAAACATTCAAAGAGCGTGACTTACGCAGACCCAGGGATGCTTGAGGGCCTGATCAGCTGTGATTCGTTTAGCGGGGTTAATGGTTAACATCTGATTGATCAGATTCTTGGCCTCAGGGGTCACCGTGTCCCACTCTGGAGAAGGAAACTAAGAGAATAAAATGAAGAAGAAAACGTATCAAAATGTGTCACTATTGCTCAAAAGAACAGATTTAACCTACATTCCTGTGCACAGGCTTTAAAAAAAAAGATGCTTTTTATGTGTTACTTCCTACTGCCTGGCTTGTAGGATTACTTAATAATGCAATACTGATATCCAGTAAGCTTTTTGTAATTTAATATTACCATTTTAGTACAAGTGAGTCATATCTAAGAATCCTGCAACTACAAAATTAACATGAAGGGGAAAAAAATGCAGAAACTAGCGGAAAATATCTTCCAAAAAAAGGAAGTGATTTCCTTTTATGTCTGTAAGCCTAAAACATGTTTTAAGTAAAATATCTTCACGATTACTTTATTTTGTGTTGGCCTTCTTTAATTTAAGGCATAATGTGCTCATTTGTGATATTCTGTCACTTAAGATGTATCTCATTCTACCAAAGTTAATTAAAAAAAAAGCAAACGTGTTGAAAATCAAAGATGTGAGGCAACAGATATTTACTCCACGTTCCAGTTATCAGTCAGACAAATCAGGAGAAACAAGTTAAAAGGCATCTGCACTTCAGTGACCATGTTCAAGATGTAAAGCACATTACGATGAGTGCTCGTCTCTGCCACCTCACATCAACCCTCTTATAATGCACATTCATTACACGCGTTGGCTTCAAACTATGAAAATTAATACAAGTGATATATTTTTATCTCCCGAAGATAATAAAATCTAATAAAAATACTTTTTTTTGTGTGATAAAGCAACACAGCAGCATGGAAACTATATAATAACAAGCAGCGGGCATTTAAATACAAAAAAAAGTTAGGTTTTTGCATTTCTTGCACAGCTTAATTTTAAATGTTTTATGATAAGATTTGAAGTGAAGGTGTTCTGCATGGCTTGTTTTGACATTTTATTATTCATATTTGTCTTTAATTTAATTACATTATAAAAAGAAATAAAACAAACGTGTAAAGATTTAAGTTTCACAAAAACGACAGAAATACAAAGACGTTTTTTTCACCATAATTGTGATCTTTATTGATCCTGAGTTCAGTGCGGCTAGTTTGGTGGACTGGTCTCTGAGATGGCTATCTACTTTGTTCTAATAAAAGCATGCATCTAGTTTTTATTTCCTTTCTCTTTTATGATTGACATCAAACACAAGGGTAAGAAGTCTGACAGAAAGATCGAGCACCGAACTCAACCTCAAGTCTTGACTGTATTGTACATAACTGGTGACAACCAGTTTTGGTTCCAAACAAAATGCTTAGATGATTTACTCAATTAACATTTTCAGAAAAGAGATTTATAGGTTTAAAACACAACACAGGAACAAAATATTGCAGTAATTTGGGGAGAAGGTGGTGAAAGGTCATGTGATACGTTGCACTGTGATACAGTATGAGATACTGTCCAAACAAATCTAACTTCACAGTCTGGCAGACAAAATGTTCCTGGTGTGATATCAAACCATACAGAAGATGAAACAAATCCACCCTGCTTCAAGGTGTGGTTTTTGGTGTTTCACAGTCAACAAGGATAGACTCTGCCACGTCATTTGATCTGGTTTCTGTGTGACAGCATGATGCCAACAGCAGCTCGCAAATACATACGAAGATGAAGGGAAACCACACAGGAATATGAAAAAGTGTTTACTTACGTCATATGCACCAGCTTTGATTTGTTGGTACAGTTTGTGTTGGTCTTCATCCCAAAAAGGAGGATACCCCACCAACAAAATGTAAAGGATCACACCTGGCAAACACACAGGAATAATACAGTAAATATGGCGATTTATTGGAAAAAAACGTGGTTTTACACATGGGCAGATCTAGGGGTGGGGCTAGAGGGACCCTGAAGTGTTCTGATGGCTGACTCTTAAAAGATGAGTAAAAAGAAAACCAAAATTCAAAATGGCACAAGAATTCAAAATCCTTGTGCCGAAATCCTTGACCATCACCTCATGCATAACGCACAGATCTGTATACAATTCCCAGAAGCTGAAAACATCCCAGTTCTTGCATGGCCAGCATATTCACCAGAGGTGTCACCCATGGATCATGATTGGGATGCTCTGGATCGGCGTATTTGACTGCGTGTTCCAGTTCCTGACAATATCCAGCAACTCCACAGCCACAGAAGAAGAGAGGACCACCACTCCACAGGACACAATCAACTCTATGCGAAGGAGATGTGTTGAACTGCGTGAGGCAAATGGTGGCACCAGATACCGACTGGTTTTCTGACCCCGCCCTCTCCCCCAAAACAGAAAAAATAAACTGCAAATTTTAGAGTGACCTTTTATTGTGGCCAGCTTAAGGCACACCTGTGCAGTAATGATGAGGTCTAATCAGCCTCTTGATATGCAACGGTAAGGTAGATCGATTATTTATGTAAAAGAGAAGTGCTCACTAACACAGATTTACATAAATTTGTCAACAATATTTGAGAGAAAAATATCTATTGTGTACATAGAAAAAGCCTTAGATCTTTGAGTTCAGCTTATGAAAAATGGGAGCTAAAACAAAAGTGTTGCATTTATTTTTGTTTAGTATATACAGGTGCTGGTCATAAAATTAGAATATCATGAAAAAGTTTATTTATTTTAGTAATTCCATTCAAAATGTGAAACTTGTATATTATAGTCATTCAGTACACAAAGACTGATTTATTTCACGTTTATTTATTTTAATGTTGATGATTATAACTGACAACTAATGACAACCCCAAATTCAGTATCTCAGAAAATTAGAATATTGTGAAAAGGTTCAGTATTGAAGGCACCTGATGTCACACTCTAATCAGCTACTTAACTCAAAACACCTGCAAAGGCCTTTACATGGTCTCTCAGTCTAGTTCTGTAGGCTACACAATCATGGGGAAGACTGCTGACTTAGTTGTCCAAAAGACGACCATTGACACCTTGCACAAGGAGGGCAGGACACAAAAGGTCATTGCTAAAGAGGCTGGCTGCTCACAGAGCTCTGTGTCCAAACACATTTATAAAGAGGTGAAGAGAAGAGAAAGATGTGGTAGAAAAAAGTGTCCAAGCAATAAGGATAACCGCACCCTGGAGAGGATTGTGAAACAAAACCCATTCCAAAATGTGGGGGAGATTCACAAAGAGTGGACTGCAGCTGAAGTCAGTGCTTCAAGAACCATCACGTGCAGACGTATGCAAGACATGGGTTTCAGCTGTTGCATTCCTTGTGGCAAACCACTCTTGAACAAGAGACAGTGTCAGAAGCGTCTCGCCTGGGCTAAAGACAAAAAGGACTGAACTGCTGCTGAGTGGTCCAAAGTCATGTTCTTTGATGAAAGTAAATTTTGCATTTCCTTTGGAAATCAAGGTCCCAGAGTCGGGAGGAAGAGAGGAGAGGCACAGAATCCATGTTGCTTTAAGTCCAGTATCAAGTTTCCACAGTCAGTGATGGTTTGGGGTGCCATGTCATCAGCTGGTGTTGGTCCACTGTGTTTTCTGAGGTCCAAAGTCAACGCAGCCATCTACCAGGAAGTTTTAGAGCACTTCATGCTTCTGCTGCTGACCAACTTTATGGAGATGCAGATTTCATTTTCCAACAGGACTTTGCACCTGCACACAGTGTCAAAGCTACCAGTACCTAGTTTAAGGACCATGGTGTCCCAGTTCTTAATTGGCCAGCAAACCTAAAAAATCTATGGGGTATTCTGGAGAGGAAGATGAGATATGTCAGACCCAACAATTCAGAAGAGCTGAAGGCCACTATCAGAGCAACCTGGGCTCTCATAACACCTGAGCAGTGCCACAGACTGATCGACTCCATGCCACGTTGCATTGTTGCAGTATTCCAGGCAAAAGGAGCAACAACTAAGTACTGAGTGCTGTACATGTTCATACTTTTCATGTTCAGACTTTTCAGGTGGCTAACGTTTATAAAAAAAAAAAAATTATTTTGGTCTTAAGTAATAGTCTAATTTTCTGAGATACTGAATTTGGGGTTTTCATAAGTTGTCAGGTATAATCATCAACAATAAAAGAAATAAGCGTTTGAAATATAAAAGTCTGTGTGTAATGAATGAATATAATATATAAGTTTCACTTTTTGAATGGAATTACTGAAATAAATCCAACTTTTTCATGATATTCTAATTTTATGACCAGCACCTGTATTAATATAAAATTTATGATAAATATACTGGTATATATATATATATTTTTTTTTGAGTAAATCTTGTTACATTGCAAGAACTAAGAAAACTATATGCTTACTTGAGGTGGCAAGAACAAGAACAAAGTTTGTTCTGGCCAGGACATTTCATGCTTTACAAGAAACTCAAAAGTACCGGTAAGTGTAGCTCTGGGAGAGAGAACAATTGTCTCTGTTCTTGTGGAGTAAGTAGAAGCTTTAAGAAGGACCAGGATGAATACATGTTTTTACTCTGATAGGAACAAACTGTGACTGTAAACAGCTGCTTTACTGACCACATGCCCAAATGTCCACTGGCTTGCCATATGGGTCCTTTCTCAAAACCTCCGGAGACAAATATCCCGGAGTTCCTGCAAAACCTGTCAAAACACAAACACACTTAGGAGGAAATGTTTCTGAAAGATGTGAAGAAAAATCTAAATCAGACATTTGATTAAAGTCTGTGAGGTGAAAGCAACTTTAATATCAAAGTGTGCTATGACTTTATTTTATCCTCATCTCTTTATTGTTGTGTTGAGCTTTTAAACAATAAACTGTCTTGTGTAAGCAGTCTCTTAAAATTCAACTTTTCTGCAAGAATTCCCAACACAGAAACAAAACGATCCTTTAATCCCTCAAGGCAAACGCTGATTATTTTGTACAAGTCATTAAATTTATGATCTGATTTATTATTTTTCTCTAGTAAAAAACTGGAGTTGCCCACAGGTTTATACAACCATTTTTTCCTCAGCTGCAGAGGGTAAAGATTCTGGAAGAAACAGAAATTAAGGTTTAAATAGGTCAGTTCCTTACCAAACCATGCCTGTTGGTCCCCCTGCACCTCAATGGCTAGACCGAAATCTGCCAGCTTCACAGCTGCTCCCTTCATCTTACTGGCAAGGAGAAGGTTCTCTGGCTGCAACACACAGAGGCAGATCATTTGTGAGGATGAAAAACTTTGATTCAGACTGCAGCCATGATTCCTTTAGATGTTAGTTTTTATGTTAAATGCCAGAAGTGCAAATAAACGACATGTCAATTCGCAATAAGTTGAAAGACGGGCGAATTCTTATGAGAAACACAAGTTTTGCATATGAGAAAACTGGATTACAGCACATTTATTAACAACACATGAATATGACATATTTCATTTATAGCAATAAGTGTAAAACCCTCTTTCCAGAAAAGTTCCATCTGTCCGCGTGACTGAAAGAGCTGCTGGAGGATGATGACATCAACAAACTGTAATGAAGCATGATGTAATGGAGTCAAGTTACAAAGGGCTTCCCTCAGAGGATAAAGCATTTCTGTCCTCACATCATTTAAGACAACATTTTGACGATATACCTCTGATCACATCATGTAAAAAGTCATGCCCTCTTCTCACTTCCACTACACTTCAGGATGACATGAGTGAAAGAAGAAATAATATGGAAAATGGCAAATAATTTTGTCACATATGTCTAACTGTACCATTCATTTAGTTTTAAAGATTATTTAATAATAAGGCCCAAAAGCTTACAGATATTCCTTAGTGCAGTTATAAAGACTCCCTTTATAACCTCTCAAAACACAAACAGCCTTTGAATTTTACAGATTTTCATTTTTATATTAAGTAAGAGGAAGAAGAGTGGACTTTTAAAGGTGCTTTCGGCTATCTTTAGCTTTTTGTGCGTCTTTCAATTTGATTTTTTTCATGCTTTTGAACTCCTGAATAATTCCTCATAATTTCCTTCACCCAAACTTGCAGAATTAAAGAAAAGAGTCTGTGTCATATTAAGGTAGATGGAGTGCAGTCAGATGTAACGCGCTGTAGCTGGAGGTGCAATAGTTCTCAAAATAACCACAACACAACAACAACAACAAAAAACCTGTAGAGAGAAATAAGTCATAAACTGATTAATATGATGTAAGGTCATTCTACTTCCTGCTGTCTACACCAGAGTGTAAAATAGCTACAGATCAGCACCACAATCCTGGTAAATGAACAGTTTGTTGTTCAAGCAAATAAAACAATTACATGCATTTGTTTTTGTCTCAAAATTAGTGTTACTTCTTCACAGACGACTATATAACATATAAACAGAGTAATAGGTATTTAATATTTAGTAAATTAGTACAAGAACATAATTAAAAATATCCACAAACATGCCATGTCTGCTGCAGGACACAGGGTCCCTCTGTCGAAGCTGGTCAACGATGTGCAAATATGACATTCCTCGCAGCTTCACGCAGCTGTTCTGACACAAGTAAACGAGGGGAATTGTGCAGATGTAAAATAAATGTAATTACACAATCACAAATAACAGATGCTTTTCTTAAACATCTTTACAAGCTGTGTACCGGCTGTTTAGTATCGGTTTCTTTTCATGTGTCTCCTTCAAATACCTCCCCCCTCTACAGTATTTGTGTTTGCAGAGCTCAAACAACGGGAAATAAAGAAATGAAAAGAGGTGGCACAGAGCAGTGGCAAACACTACATAGAGACGGAGATAGATAGACGGGAGGTGGCATAATGAGCCCCTACTCTGGCGCTGCAGCAGCCGGGTGACCTCACCCTCCTGTTACCATGGCAACCCTGCCTGCCACCAGCGCTCGGCTCTGTAATTTTTGTCTTCCCCCTTAAAGCGTGTGGCGGGTCCCAGGATGACACAGAGGCATAAATATGCTACGCGTGTGAGGTTTTAAATTTCTACAGCATACTTTTTTCATTTTTTTAATTTTATTTTGCATCATTGTTTCCATGAATCTGTTACAAAAGCCGCCCTGGGACAGATTTTCTTTTCCTCTGGAAAATTCTTGGAAATATAAAAGCCAACCTGTTATATTCGTTTTGTTTTTTTTAAAGCTTTCTTAAGTTTTATGGATTGTTCTACTAAAAACAATAAAGCTGGTGCCTTCAAGCAGCCACTTGGCAGCAGAATAGCAAACCATAAACAGGGAAATTGGCCAATGTGTTACGACAGCAATAAATACAAATCAATCACAAGTTTATTTAATCTGCGGGGTTCTCCCACTAAAAGCTTGAATGGTACAATTTTTAAACTATTCGCTTATTCTTTATTCTATACTTTCCTAGACATCATATTTTTATCTACAACCTCCATTTAAGCTCATTTCTTTAAAAGACATGATAAACGCTCTTGTTCACAAACTGGCTGTAAAATACTCATACGTAGATGGTTTTCAAATCTTTTTCTCAATATTGTTGATATTGTTGATTAAAAGCCTACACTTATTTTCTGCACATTTTCAGTTTTTATGAGGACAATAAAAGTTAAAAAAAAAACCTGCTAAACCATGTCAGTGTTTGAGCTTTTGAATGAAACCACTGTCGAAATAAAGCACTTGTAGTAAACGGAGTTGCAAATAAGCATTTCACACATTTAGTGCAAATGATTGCGATGCTTGTCAGTTAAAATGGAATTGTGACGTAATGTCAAACATTTCTGTCCACTGGTGTCATCCTAAAACTCTTTGTTCTTATCACATTAGTTTGTTTCAAAAATGCATATCCAAGCAAACAAAAAAGTAACCAGTACATAACTGCAGCCTTTACACAAAACAAGCATGATTTTTGTTCTTGGTTATCTGCTCAATTTAAATACAATGACTTAATTTTATACTTTCGAGTTAAAGACAGTTTATTTAACCAAACTCAAATACTTAAAGTTTCAAAGTCTAACAGTATGGTTAGGCGTTTTAGTTTCAGGTCATTTTTGCGGTTTTTCCTCTAGCACTTCTTAATTCAAATAAAATAACATAAAGCTGCAGTTTTTGTTGGCGGGGTGGATTGTAGGGGGTGGGGGAGGGGGGGTGTCCACATCTTTCTGTGAGGTAAATCGTCACCGGCTGTCATCTCATCCACTGATGTGCTATTAATAGCAGCTGGTTTGCTTTCGTCACTCCCCGGCAGTGCAAGGGGGAGGGAGGTGAGTGATGGAGTGAAGTGGTGGTGAAGGGGGGATGAAAAAGAGGAGTGACTGTAGATATAAAAATGGAATATGAAGAGAAAATGGGAGGAAAAAGCCTCTGAGGAGAGCGATGACGCTGATCCCTCAAGTTGTTCTTAGCGTCACGGCGTGACGTCTGCTCTGCATGTAATCTCAGACCTGTTGGGCTCAAGCACCATTCCAGCTTGTGTGCAATTTTTGTACGTTTACCGAATAAAAGCTTCTCTAATGGCCGTCACTGGAGGGAGGTGGCTCACCTTTAGGTCTCTGTGAACAATATCATGCTGGTGGATATGACTGATGCTTTCCAGGATTTGATTGATGCAGTGGCTGAAAAAGACAAAAGACAAATGCTTGTGTCAAACACAGCAGCAAGATGACAGGAGGGTGCAGAACGAAGGGTTCTGAAGTATTACAGAAAACAAACACACGTTTATCATCCTTGGTCTTTTTTGTGTACACTTCAATAAGTTTTACTTTTCTGCATCCATCCACGTAAAAAAAAAAAAAAAAAAGCACTTGTAAAAAAGCTGCCACATCCACTTACACCTACTTTAGTGTCTGGCCTACTTTAGATATGTGGCAAAAATAATGCTAATAATAAATGTGCTGAAAGATATCAACAGAACCAGCACACAAAGAAGATAAAGCAAATATGTGCTTAATCTGTGCAGAAAATCTCTTAATACAACAACCTCTGACTGTAGCAATAAAAAGGCGTGAGCGGCCGAATATTGTAGTGACATTCAAGGTCAGGGTCTTCAGAGGCCTGATCGCTACTGGGATAAATGAGTTTTTTAGTCTGTTCGTCCTACATCTGGGCAGAAGATACCTGCATCCAGATGGAAGCAACCTGGACGCACCATGGAACGGGTGATCAGGATCTGCCAGAATCAGCCTGGCCTTGTTCACTGACCTTGCCTTGTGTAGGTCAGTGAGATAGTCTCATTGAGTCGTGAGGAACACCCCCCCCCC